AAAGACATTTTAACCAGGTATTATCATTCAATCTTAACATAAGACAGTCCAGGGCGTTTCCATTACGATCGCCCGATTCACAGTCCAACGCTGTACCTGTTGAGCTAACACCACACTTCAGTGAAATTATATATATTTATATAATAATGCTTTAATATAAAACAAGTTTCAAACATCGAGAATATGTAAAATATGTACTGCAAATATTTATACATATTATATGTAATCATTAAAATAAAAATTATATGCATTCATTTCTTATTGAAAAATTTGACTTAGACTTTTACAGGAAAATAAATTTTATTTACCCCCCTTTATTTACATGAAATGTTAAATTCGGTAACATCTTTACAAATAATGCTTTTTGAAACTTATCTTAATTTGAGCATCATATTTATGATATAAAACCTTAAAAAATGTTGTTATAGATATCTAGACAAGATGAATTAAGCACAGTTGCATAAAAGGTTTTATAATGATTAAATCTTAATACACAACACTTATTAAATAGTCTGTGCTGAGATCAAATCCCGTTTTGAAGCCTCACTTATTTGAAATGTCTCGAACGTATAGCCTCTCACATAATAATACATAGTTATGCATTCATCCATTGTTGATAAATATGTACAATGCGCATGTCCACCGGAAGGCGATGGCACGATGGTGAAAACGCGATGGTACGATGGTGAAAACGCGATGGTACGATGGTGAAATCGCGATGGTACGATGGTGAAATCGCGATGGTACGATGGTGAAATCGCGATGGGGCACGATGGTGAAAGCGCAGATGGCACGATGGTGAAAACACGATAGCGCGATGGTGCGATGGTACGATGGTGAAAACGCGATGGTACGATGGTGAAAACGCGATGTAACATCGCGTTTTCACCATCGTACTATCGCGCCATCGCGATTTCACCATCGTACCATCGTGATTTCACCATCGTACCATCGTGTTTTCACCATCGTACCATCGTGCCATCGCGTTTTCACCATCGTACCATCGTGCATCGCGGGTACAGAATAAATAAAATGTCACGATTGTCCAAACGTGTCCAAACGGAACACCGTAGATTACTCATTGGCCATATAGATGAACAAATTTTATCCTTTTGCTCCTTGGCAATTGGTATGCAGACAATGATTTATTTTTTAGTATGGAAGTAAAAATACTACATTGTTTACATTTTGCTGCTACTTTTATGACACATTATCGCACTTTCAAAACTTTTTTCTTAAGGTAAATAGTATCTTAAATGCTTCTAATCCTTTATTAAAACATTATGAAAACATGTTTGACGTTTCTTAAGGATAAAAAAATGATTGATTTCTGAGGCACAATGTGCCTTTAAGGTCTGTAATGCTACAGTGATTACTATTGTTTTAACTGTAGCATTATAAAAACATTAGTATATTTCTAAATTCTTAATATTTGATAAGTCTTAATTAAATGAAGGACTTGCTAAAACCCGTAACCTTCTCGAGCCAAAAGTAATAAACTTTTGTTAACCAGTACAGAGCCATCCAGCCTGTACTATAATTTAGTCTGACCAAGTTCAATACTTTTAGCTGACGAGCTCAATATTTACATCTTGATGTCTTCAAAATTGTGTATGGACAAGTCCTGACATAGAAGTTGAAAAAACTCGGCAGTCTAAGTTTTAAAGATACTGAAATGAGAAAACGAGCTGTAAGGTTTTGTTTGAAAATGAGGACAGAAAATACGAGTTTGGCAAACCTCGGGTGTCAAATCCAACTCACCTGCTGGAGCTAGGAGATGCAAAGATTCAAGTTTTTGGAACACATTACGATCATGCAGGGATAAGTTGTGGCTGAAATTCTGGTGTCTCAACCAATAAATGCAACCCCTCATCTACAAGGGTGAGGAAAGAATCGAGTGGTAAGCTGTAGTTTATGTTGATGATTCTATGCTAGAAAATATTTATCAACATTGGAAATTATTTAAACTTATGTTTTTAAGGCATTAAATATTCTGTTTACGTTGCCTAGTTTAGAAAGAGTAACATGTAATGAGCATGAAAATTTCACAGATAACAAGACACCAAGTGTTATCCATCTTAAAGGGTAATATAATTATAAAAAAAAATAGAAATAACACGCAATAACGCTGTCTCCTTATGTGTTATTCCTTAGAGCTAAATCCGTAACGTACCGGAAAAAAGTCGGTGTTTAGCTAGAGTTCGGAAGGTTAACATATTAACAGTTGGGTTTAAATTGGTGTGGTCAAAGAACAAAAACATAAATTGTTTTTCTCTTTAGGTCAAATTTAAAAGGCGAGCTTTTGTAAATACTAAAGAGATTTTGTCACACGTTATTATAAGAAGACGATTATCTAGACAATGGTTTTTGCAATGCTTGGAGTTTCCGTTTGTCTTAGATTTTAGACAAATACTCCTTGCGCCATAGACAGTTTTGTGTTTACTCCTTGCGCCATAGACAGTTTTGTGTTTACTCCTTGCGCCATAGACAGTTTTGTGTTTACTCCTTGCGCCATAGACAGTTTTGTGTTTACTCCTTGCGCCTGGACAGTTTTGTGTTTACTCCTTGCGCCATAGACAGTTTTGTGTTTACTCCTTGCGCCATGGACAGTTTTGTGTTTACTCTTGCTAGACAGTTTTTGTTTACTCTTGCGCCATAGACAGTTTTGTTTTACTCCTTGCGCCATAGAACAGTTTTTGTACTCCTTGCGCCATAGACAGTTTTGTGGTTTATACTTTGCGCCATAGACAGTTTTGTGTTTACTCCTTGCGCCATAGACAGTTTTGTGTTTACTCCTTGCGCCATAGACAGTTTTGTGTTTACTCCTTGCGCCATGGACAGTTTTGTGTTTATTCCTTGCGCCATAGACAGTTTTTGTGTTTATAGACCTCCTTGCGCCATGGACAGTTTTGTGTTTACTCCTTGCGCCATAGACAGTTTTGTGTTTACTCCTTGCGCCATAGACAGTTTTGTGTTTACTCCTTGCGCCATAGACAGTTTTGTGTTTACTCCTTGCGCCATAGACAGTTTTGTGTTTACTCCTTGCGCCATGGACTCCTTGCGCCATAGACAGTTTTGTGTTTACTCCTTGCGCCATGGACAGTTTTGTGTTTAGTGTGTTATGTGTACTAGATAAGTTCTCCATTCACATCTTTTCTGGACGAAAAAAATGTCACTCTCTCCAAGTCCCCAAACCCCGACAGGATGCTAAAACATCCTGATTTGCTTCTCTTTGATATTTTCGTCCGTTCTTGAAATAAATTAAAAAAAGTAACAAAAGAAAAAAAACTAACAAGGTTTTATAAACGCTCATCATCAAGTCTTTTAACACCTGAAACCTAAGATTTTCGTATATTATTCAAAACGCATAATAGGTTTGAATTGATCATAGTGTAAACAGTATAGTTTGGTTAAATTTAGTTTGTAGAAAATGTATTTTATAGTGTGTAAGAATCTTTAAGCTTACAACCCACCCTCTAAACCGTTCCTGGAACCAAATCAGTACTTTTCAATAAGTGAAAAACTTCTTTTTAAACAAAACAAGTGCCAGCCCTGACGGAGTTTGTACCACCGAGGCCTGTAACCTTTAGATAACTAGCCAATTGACAGGAATTTATGATATATTAATGTCAAACACTGTCACAATTTTTTCAATTTGCTTGAAAATTGTGGATTAGTCTATGGAGGGCACATTTAAATATTTCAAATATAATTATAAAATTCATAAATATTTAATTTGAATATCTTATTAAATATTTTTTGACTAATAAATATTGATATTGAGGAAATAGGTTTAAACAGAAGATGTTTTAGTAAACAAATTATACTTCATGTACAATAGTTTTGGTGTTATCAATGACTATTATGCATCAGTCGGTTTGATCCGGTTCAGAGTCTCCCATTAATGGCAATATAAAGCACATGGTCATGCCTTCAGAAACCAAGTAAGGAGATACCTGTACGTTACAAGATCAAATGTTGATGCAATGCAGCAATTGAGAAGCTCCGCACAAAAATGCGCTCATTACAGATACCTTACCAAAATATTCCTACGCATAGGTCATGTTATATTCAGATTAAGTACTATTTTAGATTTTTTCCGAATGTTTTGTAAACTATTTTTTGCATAATTATACTTATCTTATGCACTGTCCATAATTAAAAAGAGGGGAATGATATTTGATATAAAAAATGCTCTCACTGATGCCCACCTGGTAAGGAAAGTAATTCCATTGAATACAAACAAGACTTACAAGACTTGAAAATGTTGTGTGACAGGACTGTGTTCTGTTTGTGTCACTACTGTAGTCAGTAACATATAAGATGATAAAAATATCAAAGTCTTTTTTTTATTATTATAATTGTAACAAATATACTAATAGTAAGATAAGGGACTAATATTATAATATAGTAATATTTCTTGCATTTTTCATGTCAAATTAAAAAAAAATGGATTCTTTTAATACTGAAAGTAGAACACACTATGGAATGAAAAAAAAAGGGTTGAATTTCAAAAAGACCAACTTCGGGTATTTTTTGTTTGTTATACACGCGTACATGTTATACATGGTGATACAGTATTTATCAATATAATAGAAGACTGTTACCTGAATTTTAGGCAGGTATGAGGAAATTCACTAACATCATGTTCGTGCGAGTCAAAGATATAAAAGCTATTTGACATTGGTGATATATAAAAAAAACTATTGTTAATTGACTTATTGTGAGATCAATATACTCTTTTTTTGAATGGCTTTAAAACCATTTAAAAAAACATTACACTTTATGTTAAAACTGCAGATCAAAGTTTCTGTTGCTATCAATGATGCTATCGCTTAATCATCCGCTCCATCCGCTCGCAAAGCCACAAAATGCAGCTTTCGCTGTTGAGCACGTACCTCGCACAGGTCACCCGTCATACCCTAAAAGCACAAAGTGGTATGCAATACAAATGACGGCAAAGAAATGTAACTTTATATACTCGTACTAAAGTTTAATTATTTCAAAACAACCAAAATATCAACATGTTATTATTAAACATTTTATTTCATAACTATAAATTAAGAATAATTATCAAAAGCAAAATTATTAAAGTCTTATGCCTGAAGTCTTCTTTATAGTGACAAATTCAATCACTAATAGTATACTTGATATGGTGTGTGTAAATGTAATTTAAAATGACTTGTAACAAATTATAATTTCATGTACTACTAAAAAAGAGAAATAACAAATTTATAACCTTAGTGTCAAAAATCAGAACATTGATAGCTATTTATAGCTTTCGATCGCGAATTCATGTACAGCAGAAATGCTCATTAATACATGTATGACATGTTGCAATTAACCGAAGGGGAAACCAATATAGAAATCGAAAGGAGTTCTTGAATGCGGATTTATTTTTAGCTGTAAATCGAAGGGATTAATTGATCAAATCCGGGCCCACCGACAAAAAAAATAGTAAACACAAATAGCTCCGCGCAATTAGCTTCAAAGCCATCGCAGATAATTCATTTTTTGCAGCTCAATAAACCACTTCATGAACCTATTTCATTGAATAAAGGTGTGTTGGTAACAATACGTGAAAGGACTTACAACGACAGATTGCTGCAGTGATGACAGAAATCTCAAATTTTCTGATTACTATAGGTGGGTTATAAACTTGGTTGATATATTTGTATTACGCAAATAAGGTATAGACTTACCGTGAATACATGTATCTTATTACCATAGACTTTCGTACCTATGCACGACAACTTATTGGAAATCTAGAGGCCTCTCCTTAAACGCAATATTAACTTATAGAAGTGCTTCTTGAAATGAGCCGTGCCTTGACAAAACCAACATAGTGGGTTTCCGACCAGCATGGATCCAAACCAGCCTGCGCCTCCGCACAGTCTGATCACGATCCATGCTTTTTGCTATCAGTTTCTATACTTGTAATAGGGTTTGTAAGCGAACAGCATGTATCCTGATCAGACTGCGCGGATGCGCAGGGTGATCTGGATCCATGCTGTTCGCAAACGCACTATGTTGATTTTGTCACGGCGCGGCTGAAATGATATAAAAAAAGCCCGCACGTGATAAATATTAGAGCATAGGTTTAGACTTTCGTGCCTAGCTCATACTATTATAAACGTGGAACATACATATTATTGCAAGACAACCACTTAGAAATTCAGTCACCATTCGCTTTTATATGTTTTAGTACAACATAAACAAGTATTCTACAGTACGTCTGAAATATATGAAAGTACTTTTATATACCCTGTACTTAAAAGTACAGAGCAGCAGGAAAAAAACACCAATATATATATAGCTAATGATCATTAAGACATAGATTTAAAAGCTCATACTTATTAATTATTTCTACTCACTTCATTATTGTACATACACGAGCTCTAATACACTTATCCTTGTTATCGTATCATAATCATCAAAGGGTGTTATATAATTATCAGTTAGCATACAATCATTATGTAAGGAACTTAACTAGATAGGAAAACCTTCCTCGTTATTACTAGCTGATTGAGATATTTATGAATTTATCAAAAGCTGTTTTTATTTCAGTCATTTTTATTTTGTAGTTACAGTAAAACCTTTCCTTGAAAACTGAAGAAAGGTTCATTCTGTCCACGTCAACAGGACTACAGCAAGAGGAAATACTGTCAGAATTGATCGGACTACGGCAAGGGTCAACCTTGTCAGGGTTAACCGGACTAAAGTAATGGTACATTCTGTAAACATCAACAGGACTATGGCAAGGGTCAACCTTGTCAGGGTTAACCGGACTAAAGCAATGGTTCATTCTGTAAACATCAACAGGACTACGGCAAGGGTCAACCTTGTCAGGCGAAACCGGACAAAGCAATGTACATTCTGTAAACATTCAACAGGACTATTGGCCCAAGGGTCAACCTTGTCAGGGTTAACCGCCGGACTAAACAATGGTACATTCTGTGTAAAACAAACAGGACTACGGCAAGGGTTCAACCTTGTCAGGGTTAACCGGACTAAAAGCAATGGTTCATTCTGTAACATCAACAGGACTACGGCAAGGGTCAACCTTGTCAGGGTTAAAACCGCGGACTAAAGCAAGGTTCATTCTGGTAAAATCAACAGGACTACGGCAAGGGTCAACCTAGCAGGGTTAACCTGGCTTAAAAAGCAATGGTTCATTCTGTAAACTATCAACAGGGACGTACGGCAAGGGTCAACTTTGTCAGGTTTACCGGACTAAAGCAATGGTTCATTCTGTAAACATCAACAGGACTACGGCAAGGGTTCAACCTTTCAGGGTTAACCGGACTAAAGCAAGGGTTCATTCCTGCTAAACATCAAACCAGACTACGGCAAGGGTCAACCTTGTCAGGGGTTAACCGGACTAAAGGGCAATGGTTCATTCTTGTTTAAACATCAACAGGATACGGCAAGGGTTTCAACCTTGTTCAGGCGTTAACCGGACTAAAGCAATGGTCCATTCTTAAAACATCAACGGACTACGGCAAGGGTCAAACCTTGTCGGGGGTTTTAACCGAACTAAACCCAATGTTTTCTTTCTTTTCAGTTTTGGGAAACAAAGGGGCAAGTTGTCAACCCTGTAAGGGGTAAACCGGGAATACCAATGGTTAAATCTGTAAAATTTCGATTGACTACAAAAAGGAGTCTACCCTGCCCAGGGTTAATCGGTGTTTTTAGAAAAGGGTAAAAATCTTGTAAACAAAACCCGGGACCTTTTGGAAAGGGGTTCAATCATTTATTGAAAGGATTTCCCTGTTCCCCACGTTCATGCTTATTTAAAAACGCTTGTTTTTAAAACCTTTTATAGAAATATGATCCACTCCGGGTTTGTTTTTTATTATCTGGAATTTTTTACCAAAAATTTAAAAATTTTGCACGTTTTGGACACGCAAAGGGCAGGGAAAGGTTCTTGCCATTATCTAATTACTTTTTGTGTTATCAAGATCTTTTAGTGGGCGGCCCGCTTAAAAATTAAAAACGGGGGAACTTATACCCTACCCCTCCTAATTTTAAACCGGGGAACAGCTTTTAAAAAAAAAAAGTACAAATCTCTCATTTGACAATACTTTAGTATTTGTTTAATAAATGGTTGACAATGGACTTTTTTTTGGGTTTGGGATTTTCTTT